GTTATTTTCAGGTTGCTAACATACACAGTAGGTACATTATAAGCTCATGAGAATACACAACAGTATTAGTGACAAAGTGTAATGATTACTGGCAGTCCGGCTAGACGGGTATAGAGTCATGGTGTACCGCATGAAATGATATTTATTGAATATATAATTTATACACTCACCAAAGACGGCACTGCTGTGGGCCACAGACGGCGTCGTTCCGCGTTTCCCACTGCGTAGTCAATACCGGGGACAAAGTGCCTCGAACACAACTTAGATGTGTGGGTCACGGGAAAACCTTGGTCAACCACAAATGCCTCCCACTGAAGACGACGATGTGCGACACTTGGAAATCTAAGGCGACATATAATCTATTATAATATATTGATTGATAAGTAGGTATTGGTACGTGTTGGGTGAATTACTTGTGTACGGAAACGTCGATAATGTTGTCCACAATTCCGCATAGCGCGCATCGTTTGACCATTTTTAATAGCCTAAAATCATCACGAACAGGTTATAGTAATAATAAGTTAAAATTGAATACTAAATATGAAACTCTTCAAAAAAAAATCGTCGCAATCGTAATTTAACGACTGTAGGTATCAGTTTGTTATCAGCGGTGAGGTATGAGACTTGGAAGACTCGTGTGTTATTTTTAGAATTAGGGGATGTGCATAAGAAATAGAAAAATACCAAAAATGACACAAACAGCACAGTTTACTGTTAACGCAAAATGTCAAGCGATAAAACACGTGTACCTACCGCAATGGTAACGCGCCGAAACGGCCAACGGACTTACACGTCGACTGGATAATACACAGCTAATACGAATGCGGATATAAAAAAGTTATAGGTATTCAAAGTAGGTACATTTGAATAAAAAAATGAAACACAAAACGCGCCATTACAACGACGTCTGTAGGTGGTGCAAACACGTTCGTTCGCGAACCTGTAGTTTATCTGAATATTATATAGTAGTAGATATTATAAAAGTTGTACTCACCGGTATGTGAAAAGCGCCCAATGCAGGACAACAAAGTTCAAAGAAAAGCACCGAATAGTAAATAACTAAATAATAAAACGTATAACTGTATTTGGCTTTTCCAAGAGACTTGATGTGCTTTGAAAGAGCGCCGGTCACGAGTTGCTGTAGGACGCAGGTTGTGCGTTTCGCGTCGACAAAGTTTTCCCCCCGAGGCTCCACTCCACCCAAGTACGCATGTAAGACGGACCCGCGTAGCGTATCCCACCAAAGTCTTGGAACCGTTATCTTAATATTGGTAACCACGGGTCTAACATCATGTAGGTGCGTGGAACCGTTTGCATGTTTTTTCGATCCTACCGCGTCGAACCTTCCGATGACGCATCTATTTATGACTGTATAATATAGTAGATACCAACTCGACGGCAGCACCACTCCATCACACTCCGGGCGTATAATGTCGCGTATAAATGTATAATAACGGTCGTACGTAGACTCGTAGACAGTGTCGCGCGCAGTGTTCTCCTAAATCGTAATAATTGACAATTAATATTACACACGCAGGCATAAACACATACCTACACAATAACACCAGGGACTCGTTTTTGAAGAAGTAGGGCCGCGCGCCGGTTATAAATTTAGCGGGGAACGCGAATAAGTCATCGACGGGGAGGGTGATACGACCGAAAGGGGTTAAAACTCGAATTTTCGAAAAAAACGGCAAAAAGAGCAGTCATAATATAGTCGTACTACTTGACTGACAGAGTTTAATCAGTTCTTTTAGATCTATTAGTTTATTAATATCGTATTAAACAATATTTAACCAAATCGGAATCACTTAAAAACCGTAATATATCAAGTAGGTACTACAATATATGTCATATAGGTTAGTTATATTATATTGTATTTATAAAAGAAACTTATTTACATATAGGTGCGTTGGTCACGGTAAAATCAAGTATTAATTAAATGCTAATTATAAAATAAATATAGTTAAGCGAATTATAATATATACAAATACCGATATGTTTAATATTATAATAACGCGAATTTTGAAAAAAAAATGTGACGAAAAAAAAAACGCGAAAAAAAAAATTATCGATTTTCGGGCGGCGGGTTCGAAACCACGACCCTCGAGTCACCTATCCTAACGCCTAACCAACCTAGCCACCTACTGAGATGATATCCTTAGTCAAATGTATGACTCTTAAGCCGCGTCGCCGTGCTCGCGAAAAGCGAACGCCGTCTGGACGGCCGGCAAAGGGCGTTTGAGCGGGCGATCCGACCGCGTCGGGGAGCAGACGACCGGCTCCGCCGCCCTCGGACGTATAATACCCGAGCTTTGCGAAAAAAATCGAACTTCGAGACTCACTTATTTATGCCTGTATATAGCGGTACCTACTCGATACCCAATCGGTACCTACTCTCGTTTAAGCGACGCCGGTCCTCCCCGGGGCTCGTTTTTGAAAAAGTAGGGCAGCGCGCCGGCTATAAATTTAGCGGGGAACTCGAATAAGATCCAAACGGGGAGGATCGAGGACCCGAGGGGAGTAAGAGTCGAAAATTTTGAAAAAAAATCGTGAAAAGTGATAAGGAGGAGTGATAACGCAGCGACCGCGACGGCTCCGCAAAAAACGACGCGACGCATGTATTTATGCCTGTATATAGCGATACATACACGGTACCTACTCTCGTTTCCGCTCACGTTTAACCTCCCCTGGACTCGTTTTTGAAAAAGTAGGGCCGCGCGCCGGCTATAAATTTAGCGTGGAACTCGAATACGTCGCCGACGGGGAGGTCGGACGTCTCGTAGAGGTGCTAAACGCGACTCTAGTCGAAAAAGTCGGAAAAACCGTCGAAATCGCGACGACGCGGCGCTCTCGGCGATCCAATCGTCCGCCGGGGGACTCGTTTTTGAAAAAGTAGGGCCGGGCGTCGACTATAAATTTAGCGGGGAACGCGAATAACATCCAAACGGGGAGGTCGATACGCCCTGAAACGCCTAAAACTCGAATTTTCGAAAAAAACGGCAAAAAACGCGCGCGACGGCGACGCTCGTATCGCACGCGACGTCCGCCGCCGCGGGCCCGCCGGGCCAAAAGTAGGGCCGCGCGCCGACTATAAATTTACCGAGGAACGCGAATAAGGTCCGAACGGGACCTTCCGAGGCCCCCGAGGGGGTAAAACTCGAAAATGTTGAAAAAAAATTGTGAAAGACGGTCGAAACCGCGAAAAGCGATAAGGAGGAGTGATAACGCAGCGACGGCTGCGCCGCCGCGATTTCCCGCCACTGTTCCCTAAGTCAGGGCCGATTTAAGCCATAGGGGGCGCCCTCGGTTTCTTGCTTTATAGTATAGG